CAAACATGTTGACAAAAGAATATACAAGCAGCATGCATGTGATAGTTATTTAATCCTTCCACACAACCACTGTAGTAATATATCTGTTAAAATGAAAACGCCACATGGCTGATGAGGTGGGACATTCAACGAAGAGTCGTTTCTGTTGCATCAGATTTGGCAGATTTGCAGCTGAGAAACATGAAATTATTATTCGCTAACTTCTCTGACTCCGATGTGATTCATAAGCATGTTATAAAGATGTCTGGAGTTTTTGCTCGAGAATTCTACGTCACAATCTGATGATAGAAATGAGGAGATTTATTGTATTTCAGAATGATCCACAGTGTGTGTTTTTTCCATAAAGCCCAGAGGTTTTGGATGAGACACTTGTGGAGCTGTTACTGACTGAATTTGTGAGTATTTTGTCGAAGAAGAAAAAAAAAAAAACAACAACAGTCCAGGGCTTGAGAAGTTTAGACTTAAAACACTTTTACCATATTTATTGTGTTTTTGAGGGGAGGGGTTATAGTTTTCTACTGTTTTGTATTTTTATGCTAGAAATAATGATAATTGGCACAAAATATGTGAACATCCTTGAACATATATATTTGCAAAATTGCAAACAGACATGTTTTGTAGTTTCTGTTGGATTCACAGTGATTTTGCAGGTCCTTGCAGACAGCTGCGTATCGGCTATCATGCAATATTATCGCTGCTGTAAACCTACTTATCACTAAACCCTGATCTTTTTTTTACTTAAGACTGCATTGCACTGGTTCCGTATCACAGATCTTGACTCAAAATGGATCGAATTTCTTTGGGGGACGCACAAAATCCACCTCAGTGTGCTGTCACAACACCAGATGACATGACTTTCTTCCCTTACACACACACACACACACACACACACACACACAGTAATGTAGGACAGATAAGAATCTGACTGGAGGTGACACTGCACATTCATCATGGGACCATAAACTATTAACTCTGTGGTTTTGATTCTCATTTTCTGAACTATTAAAGTAACCCTGCATGGCCCGAGGCTGCGTGCTTAACAAATGCACTGCTTCTCTTTTTGTTCCCCCTCACCTGGCTTCACCTTGTGGCTCTTTGTTATGATAACTGCACTCAGTTTGAGTTCCCACTCAAGTGGTGTGGGGTCACACATATATTTGATAAGATCAAACACATCAGAAGCACTGCGCCTCTTTTGGTAGCGCCTTGTAACGGTAACATCCCAAGGCTACTCATCAGAGAATGGATTGCCTGATTTTAAACCTGCGACGTTTCTGAGATGTTTATCTAACCGACCGCTTGGTCATTCTTCTAATCTGTTTCTCCTTTTTCAAACAATGTCCACTCTGTCGTCTTTGTGATGCAAAGTTCTTTTAAATTGCTTTCAATGGACTCCTGCAGGTTAATATGGAAAAAAACTAAACATCAAACATAACTGATGATGTATTGCAAATAATGAAAAATCAGACTTGAGTCTTGCCAACCATTTTTAAAACTCGAACTAATGTTAACATGGAGTGTAATACATTTTGGTTTAATACTTTTTTAAAATAAAAAAAAGCAAAGGGCTTCTTTTATGGCATTTATTTATTGATTGATTGATTTAAATATTTATTTCGAATATGTAAAGACATGTACCAAGTAAACAAAGAATTAATGTTATATATCTATAAACACTTATATACATACATATCCTTACACATACATACAAAACAAAAGCATATAGCAAAAGAAATATTCCACAATTCTGCACTAGATCTATATATTCAAAAAGGAGAAGAAGTATATAAACACTTGAATGATACACTGATAAGAATGATAACTAGAATGTCTGTCGAATGGACGCTATATTTAACTGAATCACAAATAGCACAGTATTTGTTATTTAAGACCACTGTTTAATTTAGAAATGTGTCTGCATAAAAAGGGATTAAGAAATAGTCTCACACACTATTTCCAAATCTGAGCTTAAAATATCGGAAAACAAAAATAACATCGGACCTAATTTTATGGCATATAATTTCAAATTCCCTCACACAGCAGAGGCATGACTCTCTGAAGGCTAATAAGGCTGGAGCACATGCTGTTTTACAGCCGACTGTTGTTTTAACATACTTAAACCACTAAATAAAGCCAATGAATAATCCAAATGAGGGTTATTAAGGTGTCTATCACTCTGCTTGTCAGAGTGAGCCAGAGCTGTGTTTTCTTCTTTTTTTTGTTTCTTCTGCTATCTGTTTTTTCACTGAGGAATGCTTGCCTTCATAATTTTGGGAATGACTTGAAGCTTGTTAGTTCAGCATTTTTACTCTCCCATGTTTAGATAATCACCGCATGGACTCGATTGCCTCTAAATGTCTATCTACTGTATATTTGATCTGATATTATGTTAATCAGGAGTGCCGAGCAGTGTTGTAAGTGGCGCTGGAGATTGTTCCAGTAGTTGAAACAGACTTGAGCCTGGTGCAGTATAGGGCCTTATCGCTATAGGGCCACAGCCAAGATCAAAACCGCCTTTGGCTTATTAGGCTATTAGACCAACTTTATCTTCAGTGGAGACGTAGCACATTACTGTGTTTTGTTAATGTGTATGATTCAGAAATATAGCCTCAAAAGCCCCATGGCTTATTCTGTGCGTATGCCTCGTAAATGCAACATGCTATTTCTTTTCGGGGCCATTTTCTCCTTTATTTTCGATGCATTTTGTCCACCATCACCGCACATTTCTGACTCAGCTTACCCCTCTAATTGATTTGACATGGTAGATCCAATATCCTTTTCATGATAGTCAAACTTTAGTATAATAACTTTCTATCTCCCCCCATTCCTGCTTTTATGGACATATAATGTTTCCACATGTTCTGACTGCATCTTTTTTTTTTTTTTTTCTGCACAGAGCCTTATAGAGGGAATAAAAATATATTGTGCCACATGCTGGGGGATACTGCAATGAAAGGGGCAGAAAAGTGACACTCTTCTGCCATAAAGTATTTAATAGTAAACCGGGGATAGAAAATACATTCAACCTTTTGTGCTGCCATTAAAATTTGGTGTTTAAAAAAAACAACAACATTGCAGCAAACAATAATTAGTCTCACCAGTAGCATCACCAACACAGCTGGCTTTGCTGATTCATATTTTCACAGACAGGGTTCCATTGTTTTGGCCAAGAGGTTGTGACTTTTTTCTGGATCATTGTTGTGTTTCACAGTAATGCTCAACAAGTATTGACACACCTGATGGTGATCAATGAAGCAACCCTCAGTCCTGATGATGCAGAAGGTTGTCTTGCAGCTGGAGGTCATGACCAAGCAGCCATTCGTGGAATGCAGATTGGCCTCAGAGCTGAATCAGTCGCTATTTAGTCCTGTTCCTGAGGGAAAAGGGGAAAAAAATGTATCGGTCTATTAAACACGCCTAATTATTATAATTATCACAACTCTGCAAGCTTCAGAAAAGTCAAGTGATCCCTCATGTGGTTCTGTGTGTCTATAATCGAGCATTTGCACGGATGTGTTACACTGCCGTGTGGCTCGACCACGGGGCCGCGCAGCACCTATTGTTAAATTAGTGCAACTATGAGATGACCGTGCAGGGCTTTTTTTTTTTTTTTTTTTTTGCGTGGGCTGTGTTTCTGTGTTTCTGCGCTGAGACTCCCCCAAATCCACACCATGGTCCTCCCCTGACCTCCATTGTGTGAGCCGTGTGCTGGAGCGACACAACTGTCCCCTTTGCACGTCATATTTCCATCCGTCCTGGAATGAGAAGTCGGCGCATCCGCAGCGCGTCGTGTTCAGTGCGCAATTTTACAATTCGTTCTGCAGAATAAAGAAAAAAAAATTAACAGGCTAAAATTTGATCAGAATAACACGAAAGAGTCACAAAAACCGAAGTGCACACAGCTTTTATCAGGATGATGTAGTGAACTCATCAACAGCATGGAGACGGTGCTCGCCTGCTTTTCATTACAAATAATAATAATAACAATAATAGTAATAATTATTATTATAATAGTACCAATACTAATAATAATGGTAATAACAAGAAAATGTGTAACTCTAAAAAAAGAAAAGTTAGAAAAATAAGGTATGCTAAAATTAACTATAACAAACAAAACATCTGCTGTTATTTATAAATTAACTTTACTATCAGTATGCCCTAATATTGTTCAATTAAGTTTGCCTCTGTGTGTGTGTGTGTGTGTGCGCGCGCGCGCGCGCGCGCGCATGAACCTGGAGAGTAGCCAATAATAAATGCAGACATGCAGTCCTCTGGGATACGACATCAGATGTACTTTTTGCATTTTAACTCGCCCTCTATGTGTTCATTTGATTTGATTGTTTCCATGTATTAGATGTAGAGGCTCGTTGCTGCTTTAAAGTTGTTCTCTACCTGCACTGCTCACTGACGGCCTCCTAAACAACGAGCAGCATGACACACGTCACAGCAGATGGAGGGAGATGATTAGGATGCATTTATGAAATCAAGTTTTTATTCAAACTTGTGCTCTTTGTGGGAAGTTTTTTTTTTGTGCACAGAAGCTTGTGACATGACAAGCTGACCTCGTGAGGTCAATCCAAACAGAGGGGAGCTCCCGCCGACCAATCACAGAGCTCCTCCGGCCCCCGTACGTCCGGGTCTCTGACCAATCAGCGGCGCTCCGCGCCGAGTCAGAGGGGACAGCGACCACAGATAAAATGTTTGACTTCCATCCATCCTCTCAGAGCATCTTCTCAATCCTCCCAGGACTGTTAGAAAAACCTGCACGTTGATTTAAACTCTCCCTTCAGCCCACACCGACCGCTGGACGGCACCCAGCGGCTCCTATGACGGACTCCGCTCGGTCCGGTCGAGGCAACCTGTTACTCCAGGAGACAGCAGAGAGGACGGACGAGAGCAACTAAACTCAACCGAACAGAGGGTTATTTTTGTGGGATTAAAAGCGACACGCGAAAGAAACAAGTTTGCTCCCAGATTCGCCTGACAGAAAGTCAGGAAGCATGACAGCGCTTGCAGGAGGTTTACCGAGAATGATGAGACCGAGTCCTCACCAGAACTACCCGCGGGGAGGATACTCTCTGGAGGGTAAGGCTCTGACACTAGTTGCTGCTCGCTCTGGGAGGAAAACCTCAACTTTGAAAGAAGTTCAGAAAAGTTTAGAAGCTTGTTAAAAAGTTTCAAACATGCAAAAGGATAATGAACAAACAGCCAGCGTTGTTTTAGGCTGTTTGAGATTTGAGATGTCTTTTATGTAGAGTTGCACTGTTTGCATGTAAAATTATAACTGCATCTAAATGATTTATATTTATATGTATTTACTTTGCAGTGCTCAAATGTGTTCTTATATATTTTTGATTGCATTTTTAAAATGTCCCTGCTCTCCTATCACATGAATTGAATTGTGAGTTGTTTGTTTGCACTAGAAATCTATGCTTTATTTAAATGTAAAAAAATAAAAAAAAAACCCCTCATTGTTCAGTCTCCAAGCTGTGTGAGCATCCCGTCAAACTAAACCCAGTCCCACGCTGTCCAGTCTCCACTCCGTTAGGACAGGGTCGGGTCAACCAGCTCGGTGGCGTCTTCATAAACGGCAGACCTCTCCCCAACCACATCCGCCATAAAATCGTGGAGATGGCCCATCACGGTATCCGGCCGTGTGTCATCTCCCGTCAGCTGCGAGTGTCCCACGGATGCGTCTCCAAAATCCTGTGCCGGTACCAGGAGACGGGCTCCATCAGGCCGGGAGCCATCGGAGGCAGCAAGCCAAAGGTGAGGGATGAGGGAGGATTTTCATGACATCCATAGAGAGCCTCTTCTTCTTTTTTTTTAATTTTCTTCCAAATTATTATTTTCAAAAGAGAGTCAATTTATTAGGTGGCTTAATTTTTTTTTTTCTAAAGCTGAAAATGTTTGTGGGAAATCTCAGTTTAAATTGAAACACAGAGACTAAACAATCTCTAAATTTGTGATCTTTAATGGAGACAAACTGGAAAAGCCTGACGGAAAAAAACTGCTCTTTTCTGTAAAACCAAACAGCCTTTTTTATTTTTTTTTTAGCTATTGCGTTACATTTGTTTTCTAAATCATACTTATTTCTATTCATTTATTTTTACCTTCTGCTTTTCTGTTTCTTAAATCTCCAACTTTCCTTTTTTTTTTTTTTTCCTCCAAAGCAAACCGCTTCTCCAGAGGTGGACAAGAAAATCGAGGAGTACAAGAGAGAAAACCCGGGCATGTTCAGCTGGGAAATCAGGGACAAACTACTGAAAGATGGGATCTGCGACAGGAACAACGTCCCCTCAGGTGGGCCAAAGTCTCAAACGTTACCAGGAAGGATGTGGAAAAATAATTATTCATATTTACTACAAACTTTTTATCATCGAACAAAACAGGGATAGCTATTTCATTTTTTTTCAATCAACACATTTTCTTGCGTATTTGTAGCCTGTTTAATCTCTTCTATAATATTCATTAAATAAGTTAATGAATATTATACATTTGTTCCTTCCTTCTCAGTGAGCGCCATCAGCCGCATCATGCGCTCGAAATTCGGCGGAGTTGGTGAGGATGAGGATGAGGAGGATGAAGTGGTGAAGAGGGCGATGGAGGAGAACGAACCGCGGACGAAACACAGCATCGATGGCATTCTGGGGGACAGATGTAAGTTCATAATTAGTATTATTATTATTTGACTTTGCTGTGTGCCTTTATTGTCCCTAAAGTGCTGAAAAATTGGTTGAGAGTCGCTCTAGTTGTTTTTATTTCTGGCGTAATTGTGGATTCCTTGGTTCTGTTTTCTGCCCCATGGAAGCAAAAGAGTGTAAAAAAAAATACTACTACTACTACTACTAATAATAATAGTTCAGCAATAGCTAGTTTTTAAACCGTGTGTGTGTTTTTTATTATTATGTGAAGTTCAATATAAATAAAACAGAACTCAACTGCGTAAAAACTTTAATAGCCTATAAATGTAAGGCGTTTACGCATGCGCTCAGACCTGAGACAGTTAACAAATATGCAGGGAGCTTTTATTAAATCAAACATTTGTCTAACTTCCAAGCCTGAGAACCTTTTTTTTTTTTTTTTTTTTTTTACACTTAATCGGACACTTGAGGATGAACTTCAGGGGACAAAGCATCGAGAGTCCATTGAGACTCACACCTCAGTTTGACGCGCACAAAAGCCAAACTCCAGTGAGCGGCTCAGTGGTGTACAAAAAGATGCCAGGGCCTTTCAAAATGGGAAAAGAAAGGGAGAAAAAACTGCGCTGACAAAAGGCCCGGAGAAGACATTATGAACCCGCAATGAGCGATGAATTATTCAGGGACACCAATAGGCGCAGTGCGTCCTGGTTTATAGACTGCTCAGGAAGAAAAAAAAAAAAGTGCTAATTTGGAGACTTTCCTCACTATTTACAGTTTGTCGTTGAGAAAAAATAATAATAGATGCCTTAAAAAAAACAAAAAAACAGCTCAGACGTCTGGCAAACACCTGTTGATTTACGACCTGTTGGGGTCTCAAGAGTGCTGCCGCAGAAGGAAAGGTTGCTGTTGGAGACATAATGCAGTCTATGGTTAATTATTGATGACCGGAGCTTGAGAAACAGTGGAGAAGTTTTGTTCCATCCTGTAGTGACGCGTATTTACTCCTTTACTGTCGTGTTTCAATTTCACTTTTAAGAGAGCGTAACTCCTGTAAAGAAAAATAAAATAAATATCAAGTTAACACATTAAGCAGCTGGTTAAAAAAAAAAAAAGGCTCCTGATTTTTTTCCTTCTTCTTTTTTTTTGTTGTTGCCTGAAACGTGTTAAATTCAAGCCAGGCCGCAGTCAGATCGAAGTGTTCCGTTACTTTTTGCGCACGGAGCTCTTCTCGCAGCTTTTTGTCTTTGCGCAGCGAGCATGACGCCTTCAGCCTGTGAGCGCAGGGAAACCCTTCTCTTCACTAGATTAAATCCAAAACCTTTTATTTCTCTCCACTTTCATCTCAGACAAAGTCCGCCCCTTTCCTTTCCGCCTAGGGCGCACACATTTAATGCAGTGTCTGTGGGCACTTCCCTCTCCCTTTGGCAGCCGAGACATCCCCACTATTGATCAAGCTGCTGACTTTCTTCAACTTTTAAAACACATTTTCTGACATTATTAATTAATTCACTTAATTACTAGCGCAGAGCAAATGATTTATTAGAAATGGAATAATCAATAACTTATGATGCATCACTTTTTCTTGAATCCTTTTTTTTATTTTGTTGGTCATTTTTGAACAGGTTTTTGTTTGTTAATCTAAACTTTAAGGTTTTTGTTTCCTGTAACTCTATGATTTTTTTTTCTTTGAGGAAAAATTTAATTATATCCTTAATTAATAATTGAAGATGATGTGTTTTAGGGGGAAGAAAACAAATATTATTCGCCATTTTTGCTTCAAATTGTTGACATCCTACATGCAAACAGCTCTAAAGCACTTTTCCCCATTGATATACAGAACATCACTATTTCATTCTTGTGTCTCTTTGTGGAAGTAGTTGTTGTTTTTCTCTTTTATAGCACTTCATTAGAATGTGAAAAGGGTGGTTTGGGGACTGAGAGAGTGTCTTCTGGCCAAATATTGATTAAGTAGGTGTTTGCAGAGGCTATTGTTGTGGTGGAGAGAGGCCTGTTGCTCTCTGCCCCTTTCTCCTCTACCACTATTGTTGGCTTTCCTTAAGTGCTAAGATCAAAGCTGACTCATTTAGATTTATTTGTCTGGGAAAAGGACTGCTAAAGTTTGTGGGATAAAGTATACCGGGCAGCCCCATGTCTGCATGGCATTAGCATGAGGCTGGAACCTTGTGGGAAGAGGATATTCGCTGGGATGGATGTGATGTTAAGTTGTTTCCATTTTCTTTAACTGCTGAGTTACGGAGGTAGAGCTCACTCCGGTAGTTTAAACAACACGCATGGCTGAGCAGCAGTCTGAAAGAATTATTTGTGACATTTGCAGATAAAGCAAGAATGTACACAATCTTCGGTGTAATTTTTAATTGTAAAATCGAATTGCGCAACAGTGCCAAGATTTAGTTCTTTCCGAGAGTGGGAATGGATTAACTGATGGGACCCTTTCCTTTATTTATTACTGTTATCACTTTAGCCTTTAGCCTCATTTAACTAATTAAAGTAACCACAGTCGTGAAAGAGGAGTAGCCACTCTTGCAGGATCCATTTATGGCAGTGGGGGTGAAAGGCAGAAAGAAGAAGAAAAAGAAAGCTCAGAAATACAAACAGTCAAAGGGATAACTTTTCTTTAAAGGGAGTCCTGCGGTGCCAAACTGAATGAGCCCAGTTCTTTCAAATCTGCCATGGTGAACGCAGTCAACATGTAATAATTGGTTTCATTGAGGTGCATTCCAACAATCTGCTGCCATTCTCCTGCCTCTATTGTCCAGAGGCAGGCAAATAGCCAGAGGGACAGGAGGAATCAAGTGCTGACAAAACATGAAAGATTTAGCTGCTTTTGTCAAAGGAGCTGAGTAGGACTTTGTTTGTGTAAATAAACTGAGTTACTGGCTCCCTGTGATTTTGGCATGGAGTTAGATTGAGGGAAATTTGGAAATAGCAGGAAGATCATATTTGTGTTTTTCGAGTGTACGCAAATTTTAAAGCAGTCAAAATGTGTGTGTGATATGCATTCAGTTCAAAGGAGAAATTATGACAATAACAAACTTCAACATGCAACCTCCACGTCCAGGCCGTCTAATCCAATTTTCAAGTTTCATAACTTATATTCTCACCAGACATCTAAGGATAAAAACGATTTTTTTTTTTTCTTTTCCCGAGCACAGGGAGCAAAGACATCCGAGCAGCAAAGCAGTAACCCGTAACTGTAAACACGGAGATAAATGTTGATTCTCTAGAACTTGTGACTGGAGGTTTTACAGGAGACGGGAGACAGAAGGCCTCAATGCAACCAGAGGAATGTCTGCTACAGCCACATTTCCATTTTCCTCTCAGGGCTGGATAATAGAGAAATTTATATGTGGGCCTCACTCTGCGTTTTCCTGTGTTAATAGTGCTTGTAATGCCTGTTTATCCCGCTGGACTGCTGGGAAAAACAAGTCAAAAATCACAGTGTATTAGTTCCCTGGGAGGGTTGACGTAGATAGATAGATAGATAGATAGATAGATAGATAGATAGATAGATAGATAGATAGATAGATAGATAGATAGATAGATCTGCCCTTCTCAACACTTTCACGTTCTGTGTCGGCGTGATTCTCAAGACTTTCTCTTTCTCCAAAAAGAAAGAAAAAATCCACACTAACTGATCTGCAACTGAATGCAGACTCTATGCTTCATTAAAGCCTCTTTCTCTGTTGGCACCCACATTGTGATCCTCCAATATTAATTCAAAGGACAATTAATGAATGCGGGCCAACTTTGAAGTAATGGGCTGGGGTCCTGCCCTGAGCCGGCCCCTCGGCGCTGATGTACTCTCCACATTCTCCCCACTAACCCCAGAGACACTGTGAAGTGACTGAAAGAGAAGCTACGAGCAATAGAAGGTCAAGGAGAGGAGCCCCAGTAGAAAAAGAGCTCTCTATTTCCTTGGAAGTATTAGCCAAGCAAAACTCTGTGATGGGGAGGATAAAGGAGTGCGAAGAGAAAAGGGTCGGGGGCGAGGGGACTCTGCAAAGAGGAGCACAATGGGATAGTTAATTGAGTAAAGCCAGACAGCGTTGTCAATCACTTAACTTTGTTTAGCCTCAGTTTTTGTGGAGCAGTTTCGTCCAGCACATTGCACATTATGGACACGCCAGCACAACTCTGTTGCTGTTTTGATTAATGTCTTTTTTCCTCTTTTGAACAAAGAAATCAACTCCCCCCTCCCCAAAAAAAAGAACATAAAGTTTGCATTCATTACCTGCATTTGTCCAAACTGTGCGCAACGGTTATAAGAACAAACAAAATGTGTTGTTTTTTTCGTGTTTGCAGAGTCGAAAAAAAAAAGAATGCGTTGATGGTTTCTCTCTCTGTTGCGCATCTGTGGAGTTTTGTTGCAGGGTCAGCGGTGAGGCCGACTTCACCACAGAGCTGAGCAGTCGCTGTGAAAAGGTCAGGGGCTAACCTAGGGTCACTTGACTGTTAAAACTATCAGGCCCCAGGAAAAAGAGGTTACGATAATGTTTGGGAAAAGATGTCAACTGACGAACTTATGTCAGACCGAGGAATCGATGTCGATTAGATAGCTTTCGTTTTAAAGGCTTCCATTGGGTTTTTTTTGAAAACAGGTTTGTGAGCGCGGTGATCGGTTTAGTTGTCTGTCTCGCCTAAACGAGGCAGAGCTGATGTGCTGGTTAGTCTCTGTTTGACTGGAACGTGCGGCAGACTGGCCTGTTGCTGCAGCCCTGCGTGGGCTCTGTGCAGTCGCTTTGTCCCTGCCCCGAGGGTGGAAATGCCACCGTGAAACTGTCACCTAACTGCACCGCGGTGGAACTAAATAATAACCACCGCACACTGGGCACACATAATAGCCATGCGGGGCCATTTGTGGCTTTTTGTCGCTGCACCGATATTAGACAGAGATACATCTTTCAACTCCATATCGCCAGCTATTTCTTTGTCCGTTAAGTGCCAGCCTCCTGCGCATATTCACTGCATTTTTTTTTTCTGTCCATCACATCATCATCTCCCTCTCTTTTTCTCTCTATCTGCCCCCACCACCTCCTCCTCCTCCTCCTCCCGCCTCGCTTTCCCAGGCAGCTGCGGGTTCCTGGGGCTTTTTAGCAAGTCAAGTGAGCAGCCCACTCACTCCCATTTTTCCCTTAACTGTTAACCCCAGCTGAGCCCATAAGCTGTCAGTTAACTATTCTTTTCCTCCGGTGCATCTGCTCGCTCTGGCTCTATGTAGCATGCCAGTGTTTTATTCAGTGGCCCACTCGCACTGTGCTCCGTGGCCTGAAAGGGCCAGATCTACTTCCCTGGGCAAATAGCTAGTTCATTTGTCTCTTCTGCCCTTTGTTTTGTGTTGCGAACACATGTCACCAGCTCAATTACCTTCTCTATTAACAGCCCCTGGAGGAAGGGCTAGCCAGCCCCTACTAAGACTAGGCTATAAACTGCCCCATATGCTCCGCTTCGCTTTCTCTTACTCTCTGTGGCGCTTCATCTTTTTCCCCTCAATTCATTCTTTCTTTCTTGTCTCTTGTTTCTTGCTTCTTCCCCTTTCTGTAATATCTATTTTTGATTCTCTCACCACTTTCCACGTTTTTTTTTTTCTTCTTTTTTTTGTTATGTCAAACTATGTGAATTTATATGCACATGTGAGCGCAGACATGGTTGTGTGTGCCTGCGTGTGTCTCTTCATATTAACATCTCTTGAAGGGCTGGGAGGAGGAGGAGGAGGGGGGTGAATGCTTGGCAAGACGAGCCCTGGCCGAGGTAGTCTATGCAATAAACAAGAGCCGTCTTTATTCTCACAGTTGGAATCCTCGCTTGGTTTTTTTGGCCTGTTAGACGCACTCCTGCTGCAGGTGAAGCTAATGGAACTGGACGTTCCCCAAGTTCACATCTGTGACCCTCTGGAGTTTATCTTCCCTGCCTGTCAGTCTCCTCTCTCGATCAATAAATGGGTTCAGTTTATGCTGAGTAGTGGGTCTGTAGTGATGTCCTTTTCCGTGCCGCAGCGTGTAAAACACGTCTGCGTGAATATCTATAAACGCACTTGTTTGATTGTATTTCCGAGTCTCTGATCTGGGAAAGGAACCTGTTGAATTCACTTGTTGAACGCTCTAAACTGTGCTAACCGCCGTCCTATCTTTTCAGCTATCGAAACTAACTTGTTTTGAGTTTATTATCCTACATCTCACTTTGTTTTAAAACAACTATTTTATGGATAATTTTTCAGCAGCCTCAATTTCCGTTTGAGGGATAATAATCTATCTTTCTATTAAGATTCTTGTCAGAGATGCAGACAAACTGTGAGCGGCGATGGAGTATTTTCAGCTCCCCAGTGCTTTAGCTGCAGCGTAAAATTTGATTTGGGTGTTTAAGTAAGGAGGTCAAGGCCTCCCTTTGTGTGTTTAGTATCCTCTTCTGTCGTTTGTTGCGGGGAATGTGTGGGAACAAGTCTGCTTCTGCATCAGCGTGTCTTAAAAATTGATCCACGGTAGCGTAAGAACCTTGTTTGAAAATGTCAAAGATGTCAATGCGGCGACGGGTGAGCACAGAGAAAGAGAGCGGAGAGGCGAATGGATGAGATGGAAGAGACAGGTCCCATTTTTTAAGAATGACCAGCACCCCTATTTGCCTCAGCTTGGCACCCTGCACCCCTTCCCCAGCATCTTCTTCAGGTGCCTTCAGCCTCCCTTCTCCTCTCCATGTCAACCCTTCAACTTCCCATCCCCCAACTTTGTGCCCCTCAGGCCATGGAGGGAGTGGATAAAGGGGTGCTCCCCTGCTGTGCCCCTCCACAGCCCCCAGTGGCCCTTCTCTGGACCCCTTTGTGCCCCCTCCCCTCTTCTCCCTCCCACTCTTCATTCCCCCACTCAGCCCCTGGCTCTACAGCCCCCATCTCACCCTTCAGCCCCAACTCCCCCCCCCGACTCCCCTGCTGGGCAGGTGACAGGCCCCTGAATGCGGGCCCGGGCGTCCCTGATGGCTCCTACAGATGGAGCGTGGTAATCGGTCCAATAGAGCCCTGCCACAGGCTTTTCCCTGCAAAGATACAAAGGCTTGGCCACATCACTTCCAAAAAAAAAAAAAAAAAAAAGACAGAGTGAGAGAGGAAGAGAGAAAAAGAGAAAGAGCAAGCCAGAGGATGACAAAAGATACACTGTCATTTGCCATTAAGGGAGAGTCTGTGACGGAGTGTTTTCTCTGTAGTTACTAATAATAAAAACAGGGAGGGAAAAAGAGAGGGAAACATTGAAATAAAGGGGGCAAAGGACGAGAGATCCACCCCCAGCCCTGTAGTTAACATGACTTACAGTGCCACTGGGGAGCTTTCTCCTCAGAGGAGTTTTATGAGCTCTCCTTCCCTCCCTCAGGAATCTTTTCGTTTTTGCACTTTCATTCATTCTTTTCTTTTTTCTTTCTTTCGCTGCTCCGTCATTAAAATGGTAATGACACTGCATATTACTTTGCTTGCCGTTCCGTCTTCTACAACTCTATTTTTTTGTTATGATTTGATTAATAGAAGTCCCACTTAATAATCCAAACAGTGTTGATGCTTTTATAGGTGAAGTTTTATTTCAATGCCGTGTGGCTGTCTGTGGCTGCACGGCTTTTTCGTTCTACGCCTGTTATATTATAAATTTGCTCCAATTGGTCTCAGGCCACATCCTTACCTAAACAAACCACAACCCACACTCACAGTGCACTTTCCAGGAGTATTGAAGCATCCAGCCAATCCTCAGTGAGCCTATATGCCAGCGTGGCGCCCTCGGTTCAAATGTAATAAAGAGCTCTTCTCAGCATCAGAATCTTGTGTGTGCCGGCGGTCCTTAGCGCAGCAGCATTCCCAGAGGCCAAATCCGTGTGTAATGCCTGGTCAGACACACACTGGCAACCGGCACAAACATTTCCTGCTTGGCTCCAGAGGCTCCAGAAGCAAGGGGAGATCCCTGTGCCCCCCCTCCCTCCATGTCTGACTTGGCACTTTTTAATTAAAACTTTAAATCTGTAGGGCAGAGGGAGAATGAGCAGTCTGGGGAAACAGACAAGCTTCACTCTTCTGCTGAAGCTTTTCTGTCGCCGACACCTGCCTCTCTGTTTTTGAGTCTCTTATTTCTTCCCTCTCTCGAGGAAGGTGTTTGCGGCATAGTCTGAGTGCCGAAAAGGTGCAGTGAACCCTCCTCATGAGGTTTAAGAGGTCCCGCTAGGGTGGATTTGGGAGTGGATTCTAACTCTCGGCGTCTTGTGTCCATCTGTGTTTGTGACACATTGTCATAGACTACATTCACCGAGTGAAAGCCCACGGCCCAGACGCAGCAGATGCATGTTTGTGAGTGTGCGTACGACTGAGAAAGAGATGGGGGGATTGCACACATGTAATGGGGGACAATAGCGGGCTGTCACGCTAGTTTGTGGCGCCTAATCATTATTTAATAGATGGATAACCTCCCCCCCAAAATGCAGAAATAGTCCTCTGTTTCTCGTCTCAAGCCTTCATTGATTCCCTTCTTCTGCTGAATTAGATCCCAATAGCTGTCTCCCAGTTACCCCGTCGCTCTGTCCTGCCCTCAACTGAACAAACAGATTAAGAAGCACCTGCAAAGGGCTGCCTGCCCTTCGCTGTGGGACCCTATCGGCATAGCGCACAGCATGGCTAAGAGCGGGAGAGACACAGTGTCCCGGGGAATAGATGCCCCAGAGGGATCTAGTCCTCTTTAATCCATGTTCAAGCAGCCTCTGGCTTTTGATCCCCTCAGGAACCACTGAGGAGTTTAGGGGAGCAGGAGAGGACACAATCTAAAGTGGCTCTACACCATGTGCTGTGCTCAGCATTATCTATTGTCTCGGATCGACTATTGTATCCCAGCTTAGTATTTATTGCAAAGTTTCCTTCTGTACTCGCCTGACTCCTCCATATGTTGAAGTCTGTTTGTTTTGCAATCCCAGCCAGTCACTCGGATGAGGGATCCGACGTGGACTCTGAGCCAGGCCTGCCTTTGAAGAGAAAGCAGCGTCGCAGTCGGACTACGTTCACAGCCGAGCAGCTGGAGGAGCTGGAGAGGGCCTTCGAACGCACGCACTACCCCGACATCTATACACGAGAGGAGCTGGCTCAGCGGGCCAAGCTGACGGAGGCTCGAGTTCAGGTTAGACACACACACAAACACACACAAACACACACACGATTCAAACCTCAAAGTCCTGGAGACCGAATCCTGACAGCACAGCAATGTGTCAGTCTGTCATGGATGTGTGTCATGTGGGTGTTAAATTGCCTTGGGATGTTGCCACACATTCCTTACAGTCATTAGACATGTGTTCCCCCCCAGCGGCCCTCGACCCCATGCCCGACCCCTTCTCTCCACACATACAAGCGCAGACAAACACAGACACACTGCAGCCACTGTGTGCAAAGACAGCTTCTTATTTTTGTCTTACTTTCTGACAACAAGGGCTTTGTGAAGAACTCAAAATAGACGCTTGATTTAGATTTATTAATGTGCGTTTGACCGCCATAACAACCCCCCTGCTATTATCTGAACAGAGTGATGTACAGTAGCACACAAAGATGTAATGTCTGTGGTTTCACTGGATTCTCCAGATGTTCAGGTCTATCAGTTCAGCTGTAATGGGACACAGAGGCCTCACACATGCACTTATTGACCCAGTACCGAGCACATTTACAAATATGGAAAACTATGTAAGTAAACAGATAGAAGATCAAAATTAACACCTCCTGTGTTTTTATATGTTCTTCTCTCAGGTGTGGTTTAGTAACAGAAGAGCCCGGTGGAGGAAGCAAGCAGGAGCTAATCAGCTGATGGCGTTTAACCACCTTATCCCTGGTGGTTTCCCTCCATCAGCGATGCCAGGCCTGCAGCCCTATCAGCTGTCAGACAGCCCCTACCCTCCGACTTCTATATCTCAAGGTGGGCACAAGTGAACACGTCCGCTCTTCTGTTCATGCTTTAAAGTGTGAGTGATTATTTTGCAAATTGGCAAATGGGATTTGAAGTGGAATGTTTGTTTTTTTTTTTTCCCTCGCCAGCCTCCGAGCAGCCCAGCACAGTCCACCGACCGCAGCCTCTCCCGCCCACCTCGGTGCACCAGAGCGGGCTCAGCTCCTCGGCAGGTTCCCAGGATGGAAGCTCCGCGTACTGCCTGTCTTCTGGACGACACGGCTTCTCAGGATACTCAGACAGCTTCGTGGCCCCGACAGGACACACTAACACTGTCAACCCGACCATTAGCAACAGCCTCTCCCCACAGGTTAGCCAATGCATCCGCTACTAAAATGCACACACACAAAAAAATATCTGTGGAAACAAATACTGCTAAATATGTACCTAACAAATGCAATAAAACACACACACCACTATCCATCATACGAGGAAACAAGAGGCCAGTGTTTCTTCACGTGGTTCATAAAATGCACCATATGTTTTGATAATGATACACACAAACACACACGCTGCTCTGCGTGACCTTCGACTAGGAGATGCCATTGCGGTGACATTGATGAAACCTTGTTAGGCTAAAGAACTCGGCAGCTTTTCATTTTTGTTTATTCCGACGGATAGTTTGATGAATTTAAAATGTGGCAAACGTCAGTCTTTGGAGAGGCAGAAAGGACCAGACATGAGGAGGGATGTACGGATGTCGGACGATGACACAAATCAAAACTGAAAAGACAATTATGGTCGATTACACAGTCATCAGTGTCCATCAGTGGCTCCCTACCAGCCCAGAAGATGGACTAACAGGCGTAAAACGAGCTTTTAACCGCCACAAAGGGTGGCCGGCCCACATGCAATGCATGCTGGGTACTAATTCCCATGAGAGAGAATCTCAGACTCCTGTCAGGCACAGATAAAAAAGTGCCTTGGGCAGGTTTGTTACTATGTGAATGCCTGAGGACGTATATATTGCAGAAAGAAAAAAAAGAAGAGCTTTGTTGTGGCTTCCAGGGTGCACGGTCAGAAAATAGTAGGTGGCACCATTGTGGCTGAAGCTATAATTGACTGCTTTGATATATGAGCTTCAGTTATGGACTAGAATTAGTTATTTCCTCCCCCCATAACTTGCCACTTGCTTTTAAAACATTTGCAATATTTACTAGAGTGTTGATGGTTTTAATCTTTGCCAACTTGTAATTTCTACTCGAGATAATTACTTTGTTAAAGCAACTGGTATGCAAACATGCCAGTGGCCGCCTTTCTGTACCGGAGCGCATGGCTGTAGCGTGAGTTTCACACACCCACAGGGTCACTGAGCGACTCTTAACTCCAATAAAGAGGCCAAAGGTGCTGTGGCCTCATGGATGGTTTCGACATTAACCTTAGCGGGCAGCTCCGTACAGAATGGACAACTCATCTCGCAAATCGGACGGGGTGCCTCGAATGTTTTCTCAGTCTGGAATTGCAATCACTGAATGTTCCAGTGTCTTAATTGATTGGAATGAAGTAATCTATCCCCTCGTAACAAAGTGTGTAATTTATGCAAACGACTCACTTTGTTGGCTAATTTGTTTTAATTTATGTATTCATTGCAGCTGTTTGAATGTATACTGCGAGACAGTTTTCTCTATTTCAGATGAGGATAGAATTAATTTCCTGATTTTCACTTAATAAGGTAGAGGAAATGAGAATTGATTAAATTCTATGACATTGATAGTTAATACGCAAAGACCTCTTCACACACGGAAAACTCTACATCTTGGGTTTTGTCAAAGGGCTTCATAGCTTCGTTGAATTTGTATGAAATCCTCCCAGGAATTATCTGCTTATCTGAACTCCAAATTTGTCTATGAAAGCTACTCTACTCTACCTGCTATTGTGTATCCATCAGGAGATTCGGGGGTTCATTTAACTCCAGATATGGTCACATTAGAACACCGTGGAGTTTTGATGTGGATAAGGTTTTACTTCAGATAGGTGATATTCTCGTCTGTGCAGTTTGCTTTGCATTGAGAGCAGCGGTCAGGCCAATGATTTTCCCCGTCTCTGGCGTCTCACTGCTGATCTGGTGCATACCAAAGCAATCCTTTCTCACCAAGGAAGCAAGCGGCCAGGATTTGCACCCCCCTGAGACCTAATCCCCGGAACAACCTCAAAACAGACACACCATCGGGAACTGCTGCTGTTTCAGTTGCAGACGGAGAGAGCGCATGAACACATGAGCACGTAGATCAGACACAGACCCGACACAAGGCATGCACATACCACACAAACTAATGTTTGCGCACATGCAGACACAAGGACTATGTACAGTGTGTTTTATTCCGTGAGGAGACACCAGTGGACCGTAGAGAAAAAAAAAATCTTTGTATGACTAAACTGCTATTTACACATAATAATAATAATTTAATGATTTGTTTAAAAGCAAAACAAAACAAAACATTTTTTTTCTTGGACTTGCATAAATAAAAGCAAAGATATTTTATATTTAATTATAAAAACATCCAAATCACACATGTGAGAGCCTTATGCATTCTACAGTACATCATGCACAAACACAAATTGTCAGTAGTAAGAGAAATAGTGGTTTGTTGTTGGTCAGATGTGTGAGGTCAGACCGCTCTGACAGAGACACTGTAAATTACACACATTAAAGACACCTGAGGTTGCCTCCGTATGTGTACATATGCGTGTGGCAGCTGTTGGCAGTTGGAGAAGCCCCCCCCCTTTTTTTTTTTCCTCCTTTAACATCATCCATCGTTGCTTATTTTTCGCCTTTTCTTCAGTCGGAGGGTGTTCGGTTTTGCTCTTGGCTTTAGCTCCGTTTTGTCCTACATGGACTGTAACTCTTGTTCTCTCTTTGACTCCGTTTCTTCGACATTTTCATGACTTCACTTCACTTCTCACGCAAACCCTTTGTGCAGCTGTTCACAATGTATCACCGATACCCCTGCAGTCCTGACATCAGAACGAAAAACGCTCAGTGCACGCGCACACGCCTAACGTTACATACACGGCTCCACACGTTGGAGAGGTAGCTCTTAACACACACACACACACACACACACTGGATCTCGTTCCCACGTACCCTTTGGCCTCTTTACCTTGGCCTCACAAGGACACGGTGATTTTAGGGCATCAAGAGAAACTGAGAGAGCCAGACAATAAAAGAGTAAAAGAGTAAAAGAGATATAACTAATACATTTGCTTCCTTAAAGCTCATTGCATTCCTTTAAATTATTATTATTTTTTAATTTGGGTCAAAGCATTGCCCGACTTTATCCTGCTGCTTTTTCATTTGTTCCATTTGTAACAAAATGCTGCAAGTATACACAATTGTAATGACAAAGAGGAGTAAGTGGAGGAAAAAAAAAAGTCAATTTTTTAAACCGCTTCCATAAATATGACAGCAGCAGAAACCACTTGTGTGCTAAAGGATTGAACTCTTTAGCCACTGTCAGCTCCCCAGTCTGTCAAGGAGAATAAAGAGAACCACATGTGTGAGGGAAGCCAGTAATAATGTATTTCTGACAGTGAACAAAGAGAGGGCCTACTCTTGAGCCCACCTGAGTGGAGTGGAAAAAAATGACTGAATAATTTATATATACAATATATATATATGTAAAGGAGGGTATAAATTGGTTTAGCATTTTTTCATTTTATTCTGAATGTCATGGTGCAACCCGTTTAAATTGAATTCAGTTCTATTCTGTTCTAACCACCCAGTTGTCCTCCATGTGTCCCTTCAGGTGATGGGCCTATTGAACCCAGGTGGAGTACCGCACCAGTCCCAGAGCGACTTCGCCCTCTCCCCGCTCACCGGAAGCCTGGAGCCCAACGGAGGCATGGCCGCTAGCTGTCACGGTTCCCAGCGCCTGGAGGCTCTACCGGGCCTGACCAGTATGCCCACCCTGCCGAGCACCCAGTCTTACTGCCCACCCTCCTACACTTCCCCAGCCTACGCCGTGGAGCACCACCCTTCCTACCAGTATGGACAGTACAGTCAGAGCAAGGTACATACATGCTTGTTTTGAAGTTTTGGCTTAAATGGTGTTTTCATACTAACTCGTACTGACTTCCAAACTGATTTAGGGATGTTTAAAGAGGGGTTATATCCTTCTATTACCCCCTGTGTGATTTAGTTTAGATTTTCTAACTCGCAACCCACGTTTATGGCCTCTCTGATGAGTGAGCTTCTCAAATCACCCCGCTGTGCTGGAATTACATTTAAGTTGGCGAGCGCTCGTGGCCAGGTTACCTCAGTTTACATTACCATCATCGGACTATCCACGTGGCCCCGGCGCTTATCCCAACACACACATTTTCACTCGACTGTCCTTTCATGACCCCGTGTGATGAGCTCGCCCATCAAATCGTCAGCGTGGCTCACCTACCCATGTAATGACCCCTGTGTAACAGAGATAGCCGGCCAAATGAAAGGAGCAACTTCCTAAAGCGTGTTTGACAGGAGGGAGGAGGAGGAGGGGGGGAGCGCATGGGTGCCGTTGGGGCTGATCCGAGGTGCACTACCACATGTTGACTGGCCCATCAGTGGCAACATCTTGATGTCATTAATTTAGCCGGTCCTGGGAGAGACCCACATGTAGCTTTTGGGGATTTGGTGAAATGTGCGTGTGCCTATGTGTATACGTGAGTGCATACATGCATGTGTATGTGTATGGAAGCAGGGTAAGGGGGCTCTTTAACAGGGGGGCGATTATGGCCCTTGGCAGGCCCGGATTAGAACCATGTGTCCCACTGGAGGTCAGATTTAGAGTTGTTATTGATCAGTGAAGCAGTCCCAGAGATCCAGGTTAAGGCTCAGTCTCAGGGCAGTTTCACCGACCACGCTAAGTTCAAAGAATGTCCGGAGATATTCCTCAAAGCTTTTTACCAGTTTTTCAAGTTTTATTATTTAACCTCGGACCCCAGTTTCCATCCTCACCTGTTCTCAACACCTCCTTCTGTCATCCACAATCCTCCGCCGTGTCACACCTCTCATTTCACTTCCCGGTTCACATTCTTTTCACCGTGTTAGAAAATGTGCATTTAAAAATGAATAAAACACACGACAAAGCTTTAACCCTCCCGTCTTCCCCTGTCCCTCTCAGGTGCCTTTCATTATATGAAGCCCCCAACACGGCCTGAACAAGAGGCTCGCCCGGCCACTCTGACATCCATCCCAGGAGAACACCACCGACTTCCTCAGCCCCGAGGACAGCAGGACACATGGGATGGGGCGGGCGAAGGGGGTCGAGGTGTTCTCCTTCAGCCTGAGATGGAGGTGTAGTGATGGCGATGAAGGGGGTTGACTGGAATAATTAGGACCAAAGGCGCAGCCTCTCCTGTTACCTGACACTCGCTTTGCTTGTGCGTCACGTCACGCTCCGAGGACCAAGCACAGTTCGTTGTCCACGCTTCAAGAGGAAAAGAAAAGGGGAGGGGGGTAGGGTGGGGATATGGGGAGTAAATACATTCAAGACCTTGTATTTGATTTTTTGTAATGAGTGGCAGAGATGCAAGTTGAGGTGGACTTTGTAAGCCCCCGGTGCTTCTGTGGCCCGACTGGATAGGGGAGGGACGTATTCTGGTGGTTCGGCTGGATGGTGATAATGTGTTGCGCTCAGCCCCAGTGCTCTTCAAACAATGTCTTCATCACGACGTCTTACGGGCAATGACATCAACCGCAGATCGACGCGACTCTTGCGTAAGACTGAAATGTGGCTACATCTCGAAAACCAGCGAGAAGGCATGAAATTTGAAGTGGAGTCAGTGAATCCGCTGCAACCCAAAGAAAGTGCAATACATTCATACCTCATGTAATGTAAATGAATATGGATCAAATGTCCCTGATTATGTCCTCAAAAACTCTCTTTTTAAATGTCATTAATTTTGGGTTGTACTCATTGATCAATCAGGGGAAATCATCACGCGATGAATAATAGCAAACGTAGTCATGATGTCATTAAGCCAAAAAAAAATTCTCTGCCAGTGAATACATTATTCAGTTTGGCCGGGAATTTTTTTTTTTTTTTTTACGTATTATTTTGCATGTGTTAAATTAGTTTTCGTCAGGAACTTGCAAAATATTAGTTCCATTTCTTATTTATTTAGTGTTGTTCAAGTGTCTTCTCTGTACATCTTGTATAAGCGCTCGTCAGTGCTGAAGTAAGTCTTACACAATGTTCATTATTCACGTTTTTTTTTTTCTCCCTCCTTTGTTATAATTTTCATTTACAATGGCGTGAAATGATTTTGTCGTAAGAAGTTTTGTGTATAATATAGCACTATTTACTATTTATAATAAACTATGTGAAAATGCAGAAAGTTGTGACTTCTTTTTTTTGTGTGTGGCACACATTTAAAAACCTACACAGATATTTTAAATTAAATTTGATTAATTTAAGACAAACAAAGTAATAAATAAATAAATCAGAGCTTTGGCATTTATCTCACAGAATCTTATTCTTTCTTAGCAGGATGGACAAAACAATTAACTGGACAGAAAACCAAGTAAATGAAAGAAAAATAAAAAGCAGTTAACAACATCTGAAGGCTTCTTTTTTGATTTCTGTTGAAAGTTTCTGAGAAGTAGTGCTGGCTGGATGCCTCGAGGGGATTGTGGCTTTCTCTCTTTCTTTTTTCCAAGCTTCTTTTCTTACTTTTTAAAAAAAAATTCTGTATAAATCTAGATGAGCAGTATCGCGACAATACCCGCTCTCTGTGCACACACACACACACACACACACACACTCTCTCTCTCTCCTGGAGCACTAAATCATAAATATATCCCCTTTCATAAACACGCCTTTTGGACAAATTCCTGCTCCCTGGTGGCTCCTTCACACCCCTTAATGACTAAAGCAGAGCTGCTGTAAATTATATAAGCACAGCAGCCCACAGACACACTGGGACATCAGTCACTGACACGGCTGTACAAGGTTCAGACGGCTTTTGGCTCTCACTGTCAAACAGAAACGAAAACACTGTTCGCCCAGTTGGCAGACTCCTCAAAAGGTTACAGATATCGCTGGTGCATTTTTATCATTCCCTGTCGGTTTTCTTTTCCCTTTTTCTTTCTCTTCTCCTCTGGAGGTTTAAGGATCAGGTATTGCAGCTGTCCATGTCATTCAAGGTGTATGTCTAAAATCAGCATGTAAAGGAGATAAATGTTGTGCTTTAATATGTTTTTTTTTATTTGTGTTTCAGCATGTTTGTTTGCCTCAGTTTGTGTGTCCAGCGTGATAAGATCAAGGCGAGATCGCATTTCAGTATTTTCTCTGCAAACTTTTTTTTTTTTTTTTTTTTTACAAGTGCTCAACTTGTAAGACACTGTGAGTGAAAAAGCCAAAGGGTTTGCTTTGGAGTGGAGTGTCAGTCAAGCAGCAACACACTGGAGACAACTTAACCTCTGACCCCGGCGCTCTTTGAAATGAGTAGACTACTTGACCGGAGCTGACAACAATCCAAGTGTCTCTGCAGCGTCCAACCCCCAAATTGAAAGTGAAGGAAGGAGTACAAAGAGGATGGGCTGGAAAAAAAAAAAAGCTTCCCATAGAGGGGAAAAAAAAAGTTAAAATGGATGCAGAGAGAATACTTTGGGCCACAACATCCTAGTAATCTTAGACTGTACAGATTCATTTCTGACCAGTTCTGTACAAATCACTCTCCAAAGGAGGTCATAGTTGGGCTTTTGTGACATTTTGGATGCGGCAGGACGGGACAGAAGTGGGCTTTTATCACTGAAATACCACCTTATCAGGTCTCTTGCAGAGTGGGTGGGTGGCTCACAGCATGCCTTTCCTAAAGTGGTGAGTGCCTGCCTCTCACACTTGCCCTTTGTTGTCCTTTTCCAGTTGCCATTGTCTCTCTTCCACCTTAGTTTCTTGGTTTATTTTAAATCCGCCAAGATTCTTCTTCGATTCGCTCTTCTGCTGCTGCCGATTCTGACATGAGGAGCACGAACCAGACCCTCCTGCTTTCTCTTCTCACCAGATGCCGGCAGATTCTTCAGGACACAGATATCGGCATCAGCGGACAGCAAATCAACACGACTGTTTCCAACGCCACAGTGAGTCCTCCGTCCGACGGCGATCCGGCGTTGGCCAGCTCCAGGGAGGCTTACGACAATGCCTACTTCTACATCCTGGTCGTGATGTGCTTCTACTCCTTCCTCGCCATGACGCTTTTTAGGTGCTTCATAGCCGGCGACGAAGAAAAAAAGGATCCTTACGAGGAGTTCATGCAGCCGTCAACACAAACATTCGACGCGGGCCACATGGCGGAGAAGTTTTACTTTGAAGAGGAGAGCAGCCTGTGAGCCTGAAGTGAAGGGGGAGGAGGGCTATGGATGCATATGGGGGATGTTTTGACAGTCACCAAGCCAGAAAAATGTCAGTGCGGACCACTCAGGCAAGACCTGCTAGTGATTTTGCAAAACGTGTAGTAAGTTCATTTTCCCCCCTTTTTCCTCCCCTCTCCCTCCCTCCCTCC